ATCTCCCCCTAGTTAGCTGCTATTGCCCCTTTGCTAGCAGTTATGGCCTCACTGGAGCCAGCAGAGCTCCCACACTGGCTGTGGGGCAATCAGCCAGAAAAGCTTAGCCAGTTTAAATGGGTGATTTGCGCTAACCCAGCTAATTTTGCTTAAAGTGGATTTAAAAACTCTCCTTATGGATCATTCCTTTGGTTCTGCAGTGGGACAGTAGCATCTTCTGTTGGCACCAGTGAACACGGGGGAGAATGTGATACAAAAGCTGCCTGGTGTAGGTGTGACAAATGGGCAGCATGCTGAGTAAAGGAGTCTACTCAGCACTTGTGGCTTAAAGTTAAGAAAATGTTAAAGTTTCCTGTGAAGTGGCTTGATGAGTAGAGATGCATATTTCAGAAGTCCTTTGAAGTAAACTAAGAAGGGCAACTGTAAATTAACTTGGTGGTTTGTTCTTGCACAGCAGAAAGCACTAGGTACTTTGCAGGCTGTGGGTAGGTGGTAACAGGGAACTTTATCATCAAAGTCTGGATGTTTATCATCATGCTGTAATTTCAATGTTAATTTAAATTCCGTTCATGTATAAAACTCAATTCAGTGGGAGTATTTGGCCAGTAAATAATTTAAACTTTTGCTATAAAAGAAATCAGAGTGTCTAGATAAGTTTTTCACAAAACCATTACATTAGTTGTACAAGTTAGAATTGCATGAGACTACTAATGTCTCTTAATGTCCAATTAACCTTTGGTGCTCGGAACTGGTTGATGTACAGACCTGAACAGATTCAGAGATCTTGGGTTATCTATTTTAGCCTGTAACTCTGCTTACGCGTGAATTTTGTGATGAAGCTTGTGGTAGGATCTTCAGTGCCTTAAGATAATAGTTGAGCTTGTGTTAAAGACTAGAAGAAATATTCCTAACAAGCAGTCAGACAGCAGGCATTGCTGTAGATGAAGTGGCATGAAGTTCCATCTAGAACCTTGTGCCACTAAAGGTATTTTATACTGACTTGTTTCAGAGTTCATGATAAAACTGTCGGAGAAAGAACACTAGTGTAGTTACCCATGGGAACTGAAAACAGTGGAGAAATCAGTGGAATGAATAATCAACATCTAAAGCAACTGACTGGGAATGAGAACACATCAGTTTTCAGTGAAAGGATGGAAATTACTGAAACTTAAGTGTTTAGAGGTGTGGTTCTGTCTTTGTTACACTGAGGTCCTGTATCTCCTACAGTGGATGCTGCTTTTTGTTGCAACCCATGAGCAAAAACAAAGTTGTCAGTCGCTGACAATAGAAAAATGTCTTCTTGACGTTTTCACTTTTGTGAAAAGATTGTCTGCTTCTGTAGCAAAAGATGGGTTTTTAGCTTAGTTTTCCTGTTGGGATTATTGTTGGGGTTTGGACAGATAGTCCAGCCCAGTGAAGCTACCTAGTTAAATACATAAATAAAATTTCAGTCCTGCATCTTAGGAGTCTGTGTTAACAGCTGTACTTCAAACTCAAGAGTTCAGTGTTGCTTCAGTGATGACTCATTTTTGATGGTTAGTATTCAATTAGAAAACCTTCTCAAAAAAATGAGGCAAATTAAATTAATTGGGAAATTGTTGCAATGTTGGCCTTTGATGTGTATTGTTGAAGCAGAAGTATACCCAGATATACGGCAGGTGGAAATGCCACTAGGCAAGGTATACCTGCAACAGTGTGAGAGTCCGTAAGGAAGGTGATTAGTAGCCTTATTCACCAGCCCTGCTGTAATCCAATTTGAGGACTAGTTTTACACTGACGCTGGTCTCTTCATTGAGTCGGTCCCCAACGACCTGTCCATAACTTTGGTTCAGTAAAATTGTTAGATGTTGTCTTGTAAATACGTTCTGTGAAGCTGTGCAGAAGTCAAAGGTGCTGTATTTTCATCCTGCTTCAGGTATGGAGCAATCTCTGGAAGTACCTTTGGGTTATGAAGGATCTTTTATAAAAATCCAGAATGGAATTATGCAACCTGTTCCCATCAAGTCTCTTCAAAAGGACATGGAACTGTTGGAACAAGTCCACAGGAGGGCCACAAGGATGATCAGGGGACTGGAGCACCTCACGTATGAAGACAGGCTGAGAAAGTTGGGGCTGTTCAGCCTGGAGAAGAGAAGGCTGCGTGGAGACCTCATAGCAGCCTTCCAGTATCTGAAGGGGGCCTATAGGGATGCTGGGGAGGGCCTCTTCATTAGGGACTGTAGTGATAGGACAAGGGGTAATGGGTTCAAACTGAAACAGGGGAAGTTACATTGGATATAAGGAAGAAGTTTTTTACAGTAAGTGTGGTGAGGCACTGGAATGGGTTGCACAGGGAGGTTGTGAATGTGCCACCCCGGGGGGTGTTCAAGGCCAGGTTGGATGAGGCCTTGGGTCATATGGTTTAGAGCGAGGTGTCCCTGCCCATGGCAGGGGGATTGGAACTTGATGATCTTAAGGTCCTTTTCCAACCCTAACTATTCTATGATTCTATAATACTAATCCATCTTCTGTTCTCTCGGTTTGTGTATGACTGTTTCAGTCACTTCTTTTCCTACATCCTTTATTTGTCTTTAGGAGAGAAGGAAGTACAATCCTAATTCACATTAGTTTTGCAGATGGATGGATGGAAAGCTGAGTCAAATTGACACACTTATTTCAGCATATCATGATTTCCAGTAAGCACAGGATGGATACACAGTGTCAGAGAAGTCAGCCTGAAGGCCTGTAATGAAAGAGAATACTGTGGGGAACAAGTCTTCTGAGAATAATGTTGATAAAAGACTTGAAAATGGCCTTAATTCAAAATACGAAGTACAACGAAACAAACATGCTGTTCCCTCTGAAAACAATGTGAGAAATACAAAGATATCCCCCATTTGTGAAACAGACAAATTATTATGACAGATGTCACTTGCAAATAATGGAAAGGACTTACTCTGGTCCATAGTACTTTAGACAGTGTGTACCAGGAAGAGTTGAGAATACAGAGTACAGTCTCCATTGTCTGCAGTGCAGTGCAGTGATTCACTGAGATCTTGAATCTAGAGCTAATAGATTTATTCTGGTTAGCTGAAAACATCATATGATGAGGAATTTATAAGTAATAGCCATCAGGAGTTCAGCTATTTCCAAAGCAGAAAGATAATCACCTTCTGCTTGGTTATAGAAATTTCCTACTGCAGTATGTGCTGTAAATCAGATGAAAAATGTGCATAAGGCAGCAGAGTTTACCAGACAGAAATTGGATTTTGGTGTGACACCCTGTCCATGGGTACCCTTGCTCCCTGGTAACCTACTGAATAGGCTGCTAGTTATTTTTTTGCCTTGAGGGGAAAATGGGCATGGGGCAGCAGTAAGATTATAATAATAATAATTATTATTATTATTATTATTTGGTCTCCCTAGTTGTCAGGATTTGGGAGAAAACAAACCATCTCACAAAGCTGGCAATAATCTAGGTGCAGTATGTCATTTTTCAAAGCAGGACTAACACAGACAAATGCTGTACTGGCTGATGGAGTGATGGTTCTCGGGCTGGTCAGGTTGGTAGTGAACTTACTTGATGCTTCTGCCTCCACCAGAAAGATCTGTTACTTCAAGGGTCTTTTCAGTGCCACCAGATTAAAAATTGTGGTTAACATTTGCACTGCAGATGCTCTTTTACCTGTGCTTGAGAACATCAACAAGTTGTCAGTTTAATTGCAGTGAATTCTTTCTGAAGGGATATGAGTAGTTGAAGATCTTCACTCATCTACTTCTCAACAAAAGTCAGGACAGACACTTCTGGAAATCTTAGTGAACCATGTTTTTCTTTTTCCCTTTGTGAGGACAAGCACAGTGGTAGAACTGAACTTTCAGTCCTTCCAACACAGCACCAGTTGATTCTCTGTGGGAGTTATCATATTTCTTATCCATTAAAGCAGACTTCTTAATAGCTCCTGTCACAGTCAGGCAAGCTTTAGAAGTTTAGAGCGTCTCTTATGAGACCTGGTATTATACATGTAATTCAGACAAGTATGTCTCACAATCACAATTGCATTGTTTCCAAAGAAAATACAAGAATTATCCTTTCCTCTGACACATCAAAGCCCAACTCATAGGAGGGCTAAATCTCCTGGCAAGAGGGTTGCAGTAAGACTTGCTATTCAGTTATGCAGCAGCAAGTGCAGAAAAGCTGGCTAAATACCTTTGGATTGGCCATCAACATTTACCTGGGCATTCTTGACGGAAGTTTTCCGTTTGATGTGTTCCCTTTACAAGAAGAACTGCATAAACTGTGTACAATCTTCACAGTGCTTTTGGTTGTTGAAGTGCAAAGAGTGATTCTTTTTTTCTACAGTAGAAAGAATATTATAACCATCTCTACACAGTAGCATGATTAAAAAAGGAAGAGAAACCTACTTCATCTTAACTGAGGAGCTTATTTCTTTTGAGTAACGAGTTTGCAAGTGGTGTTCCACATTGGAAAAAGGGTCTGTCCAGAATACAGAGAGAAATCAATATTAAAAGTTTGGTTCTATATTGTCAAAAGATGTTATCTGTGCTCTAGAAAATAAGTGAGGGAATATCAGCCTGTATGTTAGGACATATTTCACCTTGACTGTGAAAACTCTCACGTGGTGGGAGTTACAGAGAGCAGGATGAACGTCGCTTTGGTGCCAGTGATTGGCAGGTCTGGTTTGCCTGTAATTCCCATCTAGCATGGAAAGCAGCACCTGAGGTGGGAGGTGGAGGCAGGACCACCCCAGTTGGGTACAGCTGCTTTTTCCATTGGCATTAGACCACAGACTTCGGAGGCGTGAGCTTTGGCCCTGTCAAAGGGGAGAAGCTTTGAGGCCAAACCAGAGATTTTGCAGTTTCTTTCCCCAAAAGCCTTTTCTCTCATTTCAACTTGAGCAGAATTGAAACTGCAGGGAAGAACAGAGTCTGCTGTCGTAGCAGTGACATAAGCTGTTTACCATGATATTTCTTTTGCACTAAGAACCACTAATTCGTTAAAAATCTTCAGTTTCTAGAAGTATATTCAAGATCTGAAGCAGTATTTTTAAGAACAAAAATGCCGTTTTTATTAAAATGTGATGTTATAATAACGCCTTTCTGGTTGGCAAATAACTTATATGCAACAAGCCGCAAATTAAAACATAGTACTTGGAACACCATGAATGCAAAATTGTATCCTTTCCTATCCCATGTGTAGGAAGGAAATCATCACAATTTGCAGATACAATGAGGCAGTGGATTTTGACATTTTATTAAGGTTTGGACATATAATCACTCTTCAGTGTTCTCTTCAAAGAAGCCTCTGCAGAAAATAGCAGAAAATTACCATACACTGATAATGGAAAGAAGCACGTACTGAACTTCAGGCTTATGCTCTTATTACTTGGTCCATCACATTCCCAGTTCTTTGTGTGTTGTCTTTATGGCTTCTGGTGTTCTGAGAGTAAAGTTCCCATTCATTTTTGGAACTAAAAGGACATAAATAATAATGGCTGAATTCAGATATGACACAGGTTAACAATAAGTATAGAAATTCTTTACTCGCAGCTCTCAAAAGCAAAGCCAGTGTATTTTCCTACTATTTTCTTTTGATTTCTTTTCCAAATGTGCAAGTTAGCTCTATCTGACCATTAGCTGAGGTCCAGTAGCTCTTGTGTTACATTTCTTTGTGGTAAAGTTAGGGTGAGGGTTACTTTCTTTTAGTAAGGTACTTCTGTGATTACTATCTTGAGGATTTTACATTAAAAAAATAAATTGTATTAAGTTGCTTTTCAGTACACATTTTGGCACAAGAAATTGATCCTAGTGAAAATGAAAGGATAATTGTTTATGTGGTAAGAGGAGCTCTCTCATCTCAAGAGGTATACCATGTTTAAAGACATCCATGGTTTATTGATTAAAGAACTATTCAAATAAACCACTGCATTCAGGTAAGTAATGATCTCTCATCTCATGTCTGCTGCAGCTTTTAAGAAAAAATAGTTTATTATGATGACTTCACTAAAATAGGTGCGAGAGGAACTGCTTGTTCTGTTTACTTGACAGTGAACAGATGTTTTTAAAAAGGGAGGAAAAAAATCCACCCCCAAACCACCAAAACAAAGATCGGGTATTCAAGTGGGAGTTTTAAAAAAAGACATACAGAAAGAAAAGGTCATAAATTCTTTGTACTGTCTTTGACTGGGTACTTTTTTGTATATTTGAACTCCCCTTCCCAGGATTTATTTCATATTGCAGATTTCTGTACATGAGGGGTTTCTTAAAGGGCTTGCAGGTACAACCTTAAAGGTGTCCTTCAAGTCAGTAGATGTCCTAAGCTTCTGTAAACAGATTAGGCCTTTTTTTTCTTTTATTTTTTTTTTTTTTTTTTTAATCTTTGTTAGCAAAGTATTGGTCTAAGTTGCAGCCTATCAGGTTGTTTCTCAATATCCATTCAGAGGTCATCTGTGACAGCGTATACTTTTACAAGCAAATCACATGGATCATGAATATGCCTTCATGATAGCATACAGAGATTTTCCAGTTAAAGAAAAAGTGATACAGCTGCTTCGCCAGAGTCCTTTTCATAGAAGTGGTGATCATCTGTGTAATAGCTTTGCTGATGTAGCCATAAGGTCTTATGCCCTGAAACATCCCATTTTTTACCTGCTGTTTCTCAACTAACCGAATCCTTCATTTGTTTATAGCAAAGCTGGGCTAAGAGCACTGTTGTTGGCAAAGATCTCAGTCTTAACAAGAAGCTGTAGCAGCTTAAGATACTGTTTTGTCCAGCTGTTTGGCTGCTCTAGTCCCACAGCACAACCGGTAGAAGAAATATGCTAATGCTCCACAGCCATACCCCTGCAAAATCCAGGGGCTTAGTTTACACCATTACAGTCATTGATAAACACATGTCTAGGTCTCATAGATTGTTTGCCTGGGTAAGCTCATCACAAGTCCTCTGTTTAAGGGGAATGCCCTCTCAAATCTGCTGGTGAAGTTGTTTGTCAAAATGAAATGGATATTTTAAATAGTAAGGCTGTGCCAACCTGGCTTGTTTGATTGGAGTGGATTAGGTTGGGCTGTTTGCACAAGCACTGCTTTGCTGGCAGGGAAAAAGGATGTATGACAGATGACTGAGGAAGCGTGCTACCACCTGGGGCACAGTGGGCACTGCTTCCACAGGTACAGCACCAGTAATATAACCATGTCAGCATGGAAGGTTGTCGCTATTTTAGGGAGGCTCTGTTGGCATTGGTATAGCAGGAGCTAGGGCTCTAAAGTAAAATCATCTTGTGAATTGTCGTGGCAGTGCACAGTATGGGGAAGGTGGTGAAGGAAACATTTGAAGATGTTGTAGATACTGTGTCAGTGGGTTTAGAGTACATAGAGGACATAACATCCTTGATAAAAACTAGTTAGTTCTGAAACTTACACTTTTATGTGGGTGCAAATGCATGCTATGAGTAATATCTGAGCAGAATGACTTTGATTTCACTGGAAAACCTTTCCATCTGGTGAAACAAGAAACACTTCCAAAACACATCCATAAAAAGTTACTAGAATTTGCTTCTCTGATGTATCATTTTGTGCTTGCAGAATCAAAGTGCAATTTCATTTAGTTGGCCTGAGCAATAGTAAGGGAATCATTGTGGGGTGAGCTTCAGAGCACATAATCCAGGGTCTCTGAGAAGTTTATACTTTGTCTGCTAGTACTAATTAAACCTTGTGCTTTTGTTTCTCACTGCTGCTCTAACCTATCTCATAAACTGAGAAAGCAAATCTTCACTGCAACTGGCTACTGTTAGATGTCTATAAGGTGACCCATGTATATTTACTAACATGTAATTCTTACAGAAGGTAGGCCTCTTGTATATCTACCCTGTGAGTAGGTGATTGTCGTGTTCCTTTCACAGAGTCAAAGGATGTTGCACAAAGTTGCATGTAGCAGCACTAGAAACAGAACTCAGGACTCCTTTTAAAAAAGAAAAGGATAAATTAGACCAAAGACTTTGTTGTCTTTTGAACTGAAAAGTGAAATCCACTGTAGCAATGCTATATATCTGTTCAAAGCACTTGCGGAACAGATGACTTGGTCTGACCCATCGCACAACAGGGGTGGTTTTATGTGTGTGTGTGTGTGTGTGAATGAGGTGGGACTGCCAGTACAGGAGAAGGTACTGTAACCGTGGATAGAAAACACAACTGAATTTGACAACGGGTCTCTTGATACAGGATTAAGTTATCTACCTGTAGTTTTCCTCAAAGAAAGCCACTCTTGAAAGTCCAATATGCCACTCTGCAGGTATCAGAATCAGGAGGTTTTAATGGTGAAACCAGCAGTAGTGGTGGTTTAAAAGATCTCAGTTCAAATTCTGGCAGTACCATGAGTTCCCAATGAATTGGGATCACTCATCCTACCAATACGGAATCCAGTGTATTTTGGCTTCTGTGAGTCTGACCAGTTGGTACTGTGAGCATGTCATCTTCCAACTCAGCTGTGTTGGCTAAATACACTGCTACCCTTCAGGCTACTTGCAGGTATTTGTCATGCGTCCTGCCAGCAGACTTCTGCTGTTTCAGATCTGCCACTTAAGCTGCTCATGTCATTACTTCTTAGCCTGTTTAAGGGGAAAAAAGTGCATTTATTGCCAAAAATCTGCTACTATATATAGTTGTATAAGCCAGTTTAGCTCACTGAAATTAAGTTAAGGAGGGAAAAGTAGCCACTTATTCTGGTACAGCTATATCTGGAAGAGGATATGCCCATGGCTTTCCAAGTCAAGAGCTGGTTTTAACTAGTTTGTTTCAGAAAAGCTTATGAAAGGTACACTGTCTTCCAAGAGGGAAATCTGTAGAGGGCTGTGGGATTGTCAGTAGGAGGAGATAGCAGCAGGCATGAAGCATGTTTCTGGAGCAGACAGACCTTCGGTATAGGATTGTTCTTCATGTGAAACATGTTTGATTTGTCAGTGGTCATCTTTCCATAGAGTTGAAAATGGGTTTTGAACTGGGAAAATTACAGTATCCTGTTTTTCTGAAAGAGATATTTCCTTGTCAGTTGCAGTTTTCTACTGATGCAGTCTGAAGTCATCCTCTCTGGTCTGTGCAGGAGCACTGGTACAGCAAGTGTGCACTTGTAAACTTGCTGTTCCCAGCCGCTGCCTCAGGGTTTCTTTGCAACCAAAAGCTGGAATTGGCAACTTGACAGTCTGTTTTGTAGCCAGGTTTTCAGTCCTTTTCCTCCTTTAGGTTAGTTAAGCCCTAAGCTTGTGGGCCCCTTCCTCCACTCAGTCCCACTGAGCTGGGGTCTCTACCATATCTCTTAGTAGTTCTTGCTTTGAAAGGGTGATCTTATTACAAGGAATAGTGATGTTATTTGGCAAACCGTTATTATGCTCATTGAGTTATCTGTTCTCTTCCTTTCCAGCTTCAAGATCACTCCCAGAAAGTGCTAATAAATGTATTAGGAGCTCCTTAAAATTAGTTTAACATGAAGAAGCAAATATGCTCAATACTGTTACTGGTTTAATGCAGATCAAGATAATATTCTCACCTCATTCCCAAAGGCCTTGAAAGGAATAATGCAATTCTGTGCTAGCATCCACACAGATAAAAGGTTGTATAATTGCATTATATGGAAACTACTGCAAGCTGCTCCTCTTTTCCCTTTCATTTAAAAACATTTTGAAGACACTAATGCTGGGGGGAAGGGGGCTTGACATCTGAGCATTGGGAAATCTTTTCTTGGCCGTGCGCTCTTCCAGAGTGTGGAACTGTGGTTTTATTTTGGGGAGATGAAAAGCCAGAAGAACTGGATGAAGGCTTAGAAAGACCTGTCAGGGGCATAGAGTGGTTAATTTGCATTCCTGAAATTCTTGTGTTGTCTGGAAGGAATCAGTTGATAATTTCTTTCAGGCCGAGGTTTCTGTTGGGCAGGACGGGACTTGTTCAGATATAGGTGTTGCTATTCAAACTGAGGTTAGAGAGTACATGATACATGAGAGAAGCCCTATGGAATGATACTGCAGCAGCCTTTGTCCATCTAATTTCAGCCTAGCCTCAGAAAACTTCTTGACACCATCAGCTGGCTGGTTACATGGTGGGGTCTTGTCTGGAGACCAGTTAATAGATTCTGTTTTATCAAGTGCTAAGTCTGACAGTACCTCAGTAGAGAAAGTATTTGAACTGCTCATTGACATCTCTGTAGGTATAACATGTCCTTGAGCACAAATTGACCTCTGGAGCTGAAGACATTTTGCTTACTTATTTGCATGTTTAGGTAGATAAAAAAACCTAAACAAACACTGACTGCCACATGTAGATTAAAAAAAATAGTCTTCCAAAAGATAAAGAGGATTGGATTCAGCCTGCTGGTTATTCTCAGTCTTTGACTGCTCTTCAGCCCGGTACTCCCGTTTTCTTACTTGGGCATCTGCTAAACTTCTAAGTTAGAGCTCCACTTCCTGTTGCAACAGAAAAGTACAGGTTTTGTGGAGGTGGAGGGGGCATTATGGTTTGTTTTTCTAGCTTTTTTTTTTTTTCTTCTCTTCTGAGATGAGATTTCTTTTGCTACAACTATCTCTTTAACCTTGGTGTACATTGCCTCTGCTTAGAGAACAGCTTTAGGATCACAGCTCCTCAAAACAGATACCTTTTAGATTGTAATAGATGTCCCCTGGAGCTTGGAAATGGGAAATGAATTGGATTTTTCATGTCTTGGAACTGTTGACCCATGCTTTAGATCAATGCAGGCTTTGGCTGAGTCTTCCTCTTTTCTCTTTCTCACATTTAGTCGTTACAGCTAACTCAGCTCACTATTCGCATTTCTCTAGCTCTTTTTGGAGTGCACCACACTACAGCCAGCTGTCTACCTTCTGTAAAAGGAAAAAAATTCCGTTGTTAAACTAGATGCATGTAATATAGTAATGTAACTAGTTATCATGAACGGGAAAGTGAACGAATCCCAGTTAGTGTAAATGTTCCTGCTTCTTGGTATCCTCACGTGCTGAGAAACATTTAACTTTCCTCAGTGATATGGCAAATTAAGTACTTAGCATTTTTTCCCCCTGTGTATTTTGCATAAAGAAGCATAAAGTGCATTCATATTGTCTGGTTAATGAGATACTACTCTGAGAGCACCTAGTGTGCTCTTCACTACTGAGTAGCCCACACATCTTGCCACAGATTTGAGGCTTGTGTGTCTTTAGGAACAGGATTTCAGAGGATTCTTTGACGGATTGTGCTGATAAGGAGACTGACATCCTGATCTTAAGCTGAAATATATCTTATTGTTTCAGCTTTTGACCCAGTAGTCTCTAGTAGCTAACATGCCGCTCTGAATTACAGGGGAGGTTGGTATCTTCAGTATTTTCTGTGGCAGGTTGACTGCTCAGTATAAACTTGAGGCTATTGGATTCCTCCTTAAATTAGCCTTCTACCAAAAAGCTGCCTTACTTTGTGTTAATCAGAATCAGTAAATATTAGCATACTTTTCATAAGGCACATGAAAAGACTGTTGCTGCAGTTGTGGTTAAAAATAACCCCAAACTTGCCAGATGACTCGTGACCAGGTACATTCTCATGCTGACTTAATCAGGCTAGTGTGAACATCTTCACTTTCTTTAGCCTTGTGTACCAGAGAAGAAGAGGGTTGCTCCGTGTAATGCTGCATGCAAATCCACAGACCACCCTCTGTTTCTAAATACAGTGATTTCAAATAACTTTGAATGAAGCTTGCCAGAAATCTAGTAGTAACCAACATAAAAGAAACCCTCGTACTGGTCAACCAGTTCAGCTTTTTGAATCGACATAGCCTAGGAGTTTCTAATCCCTCTGGTGATAGTGGTCTGCCTTCTAATTTTAGTCCCTTTCAGTTTGCAGTTACTTGTAAAGCACAATAAACCAGTGGAAAAAAATCGGCATTTTAAAACAGTTTTTGAAGAACAGGGTAGGCATGAGTCATACCTGTCCCTGCAGGCTGCAGAATTGCTGTCGACAGTTAGCTGGGAAGAAGTGTATTTAAACTTAGTCCTTGCCAATTTAAATCACTTTATTCAAAAGCATGAATGAGGTAGTAGTATTCCATTAAGACTGTTCTAATCAAATTTTAATGAGGAAATATATTTATACAAGCAGCAGATGAGCTCTTCCCAGTATTTTCTTTATAATCAAATATTCCTAAATGTTGTCTATGATTAAACAAGGGACAAAAATGAACATTTTCCAATTTGTCCCAAGGGGAATTCAGTGAAGAACTGGGACTGGATTTTAAATAACTGCATAGAGATTGAAATTTTGGTGGATAAGCGGATGATCTGGTCAGTGGCTTGTAGCACATTTTGTTGGAGGTAGATAGTAAAATGGGGATTGTTCAGATCTGGCCAGTTTTCAAGGCACTAGTTTATTCTGCATATGGAATTAGACTAAAGGGAAGAGACCACACAATAGGCAAAGCTTGTGTTGAAGGTTAAAGTACAAGAAACCTAATGGTAGTCTGCTCTTCGATTTTTGCCAACTTTCTGATCGGAAAACCGAGACTTCTGCTAAATACCAGACTGCAGACTGGTGCTCTTGTACTCCTCCCTCCCGCTTCCCTTTCCCACTTCATTCAGTCTCTCCCTGTTGCATCAGCAGGCCCCTATGATGTATAGCAGGATTTCTTTTTCCATTTCTGTGAGAAAGATTGGCATACATAAACTGGCTTGGCACTGATTGAATATTAGAGATGGAATATGATAATAAAAGGGAAGTGGGCAAAAAAGCAACCCTAGAGATTTGTCAGAACATCACTGGCATCACTTTAGCAATGTTATAACTAATAACATGCTTTAGCAGTTGCTTTCAGTGAAAGAGAAGGAACAGGAATTAGGACATATATTTGCACAGGCTTTATTGCAGCATCTTTAATCCCTCTTCTCATGTGCTAATGTCAATTAATAGTTTGGCATCTTTCTAGGGTATTAAAATAGTTTAAGTTATGTCCCTATAGAGCCGACCACACTGGTGACTTGGACTATTCCTAGACATTCTTCTTTGTACTATTTTACTGGTTTCATTTTTTTGCTAAAGCAGTAACATTAGATGGGCTACGCTTCCTTCAGTAATTGGATTTGTGAAATACTAAGAGTCTCCATAACGGTACAGACTTTAGAACCGTGGTTGCCATCTAATTTTGTGGTTACAAGTGAATTGAACAGCAAGCCAAAAATTTCTGAAATCTCTAATTTACTCCATCTTGTCTATAAATAACGAAATTGTGAGTTTCAAAACCCAGGAATTTAGATAACTGACTTGCTCTTTATCCCACAGCAAATGGATTGGTTTAAAGAGCACATCAGTTGCCTCACACTGAACTGGCAAGTTGACAGAGGTTTTGCAGAAATGGTTATAATATGTGATGGCTGAGGTTATGTCAAGGTTGCACTATGCAGGTTTCCTTGAGGGTAGAAATGGGTTTTTTTGACTTGTAATCTTTTAATTCAATTATAAATACTACACTTTGATAAAAGGAGCATAAGATTTTACTGAATAAAATGCTTTCCAAAAAGCAGCTTAGACACAGCAGTGGGTATGTATGGCCATTTCCTTTTTTACGGTGTAGCGTTTAGGTTCCATACAGGTAGCACTGTGTTTGAAAATCTCCCTCACACACTGAAATGTGCCACCTCATTTTATACTTTTTGCATTCGAGGGGAGATCTCTGTTAGAAATGTCTGTTCTGGGCTCGAATGTATTAGAGGTATTTATCCCTAATCTTACCTAAATGATGCTATATTCAGTGTGAAAAAATGGATTTGCAATTTGGATGAGGGACTTACTTACCCTAAATTATGCAGTGCTGTGTTTCTCGTAGAGGCAGGCAAGCTGTTGTACAGTTTCTAGACTGGAAGCACCTGTTCAGGGAAGAGTTTTCTTTAGATGGGGCAGGTTTACTGACCTGCTTGCTCTGCCCGTAGCCCCTTTTGACATGAAGTTGCACAGCATAAGGTTAATGACAGTGGGTTAGCAAAGCTTCAAAGCATCTGGCCTGACCCTGGCATGCCTAGCATTCCTTTCTGCTGTGCAAAGGTTTGGCATCAATTCCCCTGTGGTGGAAAGAATGTTTTCAGGAGAAACCAGCTCATGCAGCTCTCCCAGGGCTCTGGAGAGGGTAGAGTTGTCATGGCAGTAAGTCATGAGGATTTGTGGAACATGAGTAAATCCCTTTCTTTGTGCTCTACTCTAGGCATGGGTTGTGGTGAGAAAAGGAAGCTGGATCAAGCAGGTATAATGTGTCATTGTCCTCTTTATAACCACTGCTGTCACTTACCAGTAGGACAGTGTGTGTGTCATGGAAAAATGACCACTTGTGTGTACCAGAAACACTTGGGGCAGTGAAGAATGTGTCCCACCAGGTGCTGAGCAGACTGACCTGCACTGGAGCACGCTGCAGCCAAAGGCAATGTTGGCAGAGCTGCATCTTCCCCATATTGACTGCTTCCAGCTGTGCTGCAGATGTGGCCTGGTGTGGGAAGAGAAAAGCTAAATATTCTCTATGTCCTGCAGTCCAGACACATGCCCCCCCCCGCCTTGCTGATGCTTGGACATAGTATAGAAAACTGCTTCCCCTGAATTCAAGGGAAGGAGAAAACATGGAAGAGGATGGAAAAGGAAAGGAGTAGTAAGGTGGGACAGTAAGTCTTGTTAGACTGAGATGCCATGGAGAGGACAGGAGGGAGGAAACTAAATGGAGAATTGCTGGGCCAGGAGATTGATACAGGGAGCACCAGCCAGAGGAGTGGAGGACACTGCGGCTGGTGATCAGAGAAGTGAGGAATAAGGAAGTGATGGGGGGAGCCCAGGAGATTGATGCACATTCAACAGGAAATCCTGTTTCATTTTCTAGTGCTGTTGCACCAAGGATGGCATCTTGCTGTATTCCTCATCACTGGTTACCTGCAGCAGCGGGGGCTTAGGCTGTACCATGCCACTGGCATGCTGAACAGGGAGTCACTGTGTTGCCAGATGATGGAGAGGGAGTTGGAGCTAAACTCCCTTGACATTATAAAATTCTGCCAGGATGCCGTGCCTAAAATGTTCACAGGTTTGCCTTTGCAAACTTGATGCATGTGCACAAACGGGTAAAGATGTATCTTAAATGACAACCTCAGACACTCTTTTTCCCACAGAATCTGTCTCTTATTTAGTATGCACCATGCACAGGACTGTCTTTGTAAGCAGCTTTTCAGGAGCAAAAGCATCTTACACCTGTCATTTCAAGCTCCTTTGAATGCTTGGGTTTGTAACCTTTAATACTCTCCTTAGGTAACGCAAGTGCGGAAAGAGATTTGACATTTTTAATAGGTTTTTTTTTTTTCTTCATATTGCTCCTAATTCCTTCTGGTATAATCTATAATTCCGGGAATTCTTCTGTCTGTAGCCTAAAGGCTCACCACTAACCCCTTAACATTCTCATATACCACAAGCGAGGGACAACAGCTATTTTGTAAATAGATTTCTGTAGAGTATGCCAGATAAGTAAGCAGTTCTCTTGGCAATCAAAATTAAACTATCTCCAAAGAAAGTAAAAATGGAAAACTTGACAGAAAACAGGCAGTAGGTACCAGTGCTCTTATTTGTATTCAGTGCGAATGATGGATGTTTTAGAAAGCCTTCCAAGTCCAAATAGACTTTTCTTTTTCTGTACAAAGGTGATTTCCCAACCTGCTTATACTTAAGTGAAAACAGTTTGACCACTGGTGTTCAAAGGCAGAAATGCACGCTTCACCAATTTGGAAACACTCTTGTCAATACAAACAAAACCAACTCAGCTTTATGGTTGAAATACTGTAAAAAAGAACTGATCCCTGTTAGGCTTGGGTTTGGTTTGTTTTTTTGACGTAGTCAATATCTGTTGGTCAGCAAGAAGGGCTTGTGCTTTGTGCCGCTATGGCAGGATTTAATGAGAGTCTCAAGTGCATGGTTTTCTGACTTCATGAACTATATCACAGGCAGGATCTGTGAAGTTACTATAATAAGAATATAAGATAAAATTACTAAAAATGGAGCCTGGGGTGGTATTTTACAAAGCAACATGTAAGCACCTAAAGAGTAAGGTGTGGATTGCTATCTTTGTATTGTCCCACACTGAATACTCTGTGCCCAAGTGGCATCTGGCTGCTGGTGCAGCAGCCCCTGCCCTTGGCTTCAGTGGTGTATAACGATATCGAGAAGAGCTGACCAAGGGAGGAACCCGGCTGGGATGCATGGTGTCATCTGCCTCCACAGAGCAAGGGTGGGTGCCAGCGGGTTGGAGGGGCTGTTCCATGGGGTAGGGTGACACTAGGCTGGCTGGCCACAGCCACCTGCACAGCATCACTTGGGCTCGTGCAGGATGCAGCATGCAAGGTCATCTCTTCGGGGAAACTTGGGGAGGTGCTTTGGTGTCTCAAGCAACTGCTGCTGTGTCTCAGAAGCACAGCCCTGTTCAATGTGAACTTGAGTGATTAGCACAGCCATTACTGCATCTATAAATAGAATTCATCTTACAATATATTAAGTTTAATGATATAATAAATAGATTACAGTTAACCTTAATGGGAGCACAATGAATGGAGATGCAGTCCTTATGAAGATCTGCTGCCATTAGTGAATGTTTTGCAAGATGCATTATATGTAATACCACCTTCTTCCTCTGAAAATTGAATAACAATACTGAGGAGAAACAAAACAAAAAAGCAACTCATAATGTTCCTGTTGCATGGAAAATGGTCAAGTACATGAAAGTGCAGGTTGCATTAGCAACCTTAACTCTACTCCTTATGAATATGCATTATGAAAAATGTTTATTATATGATAACATTGCTAGTTTTAAAACAAACCATACAGGATTTCTCTGTAGGAAGCTTGCATGTGGTTACTGTCACAGGGAATTAAAAGCAACATGAAGCCTAGCTCCACTAATATTTTTATTTTCAATTTTCTTTAACAAGGAAAAAAACTGCTTTGGGAAGAAAATATTTTTGATTGTGTTTAGGGGTTTCTTTCAGTGAAATAATATACAGTTCTAATGAGACAAGCTCCCTGGAGTTTTAACATGACATGTTTAAGGGAGGTTGACATTATACCCCCTGCCTGTGGTTCACCTTGTTGTGCTTGTTTTATGGTAAAACTTTAATATTTGAGCATCCATTTCCATTTGACAGAGACTTAAGTATGTTTGTCAATGCAAATAAGTCTCTCTGTGGTAGTAAAACAGCCCCAAAGGTTGGGAGGACAAAGCCTAAACCCCAGTTCCTTGCCATTTCAACTGAGGCTGTAGTTTGGCAAGCAATCAAGGTAGCTCTTCTGGGGGCTTGAGGAGGTTAAAAAGGCAAGCAGGCTGTACCTCTTGCTGTGCCGGTATGCACATCTGTGTGGCTCTTCAATGGGTGAGATGGGGAATCTGAAGTGGCTGACAAATAGCCTGGCGAAAAAGTCAGCTGCCAGCCCTGGTTGACCACACAGCCATACAGTGGAGGCTGTGGTGGCACACCTGAGAAGGTGACATAGTCATAGAAATGAATGGCCAAGGGCAGCCACAGGTGCAGGGACTGCCTATTACGTGCCCCCCCCCCCCGCCCCATAGTTGTGCTGACTTAAATGCACATCAAACTATAGCTGAGAGAATGGTGCCTCTAGGTGTAAATAATAGGCTTATGCTCTCTGCATGGGACGCTCAGGTCACAGCTCTTCATACCTCTTTCTCAGTGGTGTAGCTGGCCTAGGAAGTTAGTGCCCTGCCTGTGAATTGCTCATTTGCTTCTGGCTCAGTTGTTTGTGATGGCATGGTGGAAAATTAAGCCACTAACTGGTTCTAAAAAAAAATAACCCAGAGGGAAAAACTTACAACCATTTCTCCTCACCTCACTTAATGAATCTGATTCATAGAGCATTTCTATAGATGTTTGTTCCTGTAGAAATAAGGGCAAGAGCCATTCAGGGGTGGGAATGAGCAGGTGAGACTGGGACATCTTTAAGCTGGTGTTGCCACCAAGAAACTGTGTGGAACTGTCCTCTTCATATAAACGGGTCTGTGACAGCTTTGGCTGTACTTCAAAATAGCCTACGCATCAAAGCATATGTTGCAAGTTCTGTGCCCAACTACAGGCAACCAACAAAGAGGACAGGAAGTATGACCTTCAGAGGGGAGTTCTGCTCTGCTGGAGACATGGTGATGCCATATTATATTAAGCCTGTCTTTGTAATCTCCCTGCTCTTAAAACAATGTGAAGCTCATTCTTAATATCGAGCGCTGAAGTCTGTAACGTACACTTCATGCATAAATCCTTTTTGAACCTATTTTTGCAGCCATTAACTAGCACTCTTTTAATACATCTTATTTTTTTTATTAAAAAGGAAGTTGTTTAATGTAAATCTCTGCTGCAGATATATAACTTTAAAAACAGTGTTTGTAATCAGAGTTCATACTATTCTAATAAAATCAGGCTTTATTAAGAAATATTAATTGATTTTTCAGTTGCTATCTATGCCATTACCTTCCCTGCAAAAGCAAATCTTAGGGGTATTTAGAATATTGTTTAACTACATTACCTTACTTTGCATGGAAATAATAGTAATGTGTGGGAAATTCCAGTTTGAAAGCAGTCTTCAAATGCTTTGCCAAGAAGCATTATGCAATTAATGAAACAATGCAGTAATACCTATCATGCTTTGTAGCACTTACTCTCCACTCAGGTAAGCTTTAGAAGACTTATTCCAATTTATTGTAGTGCCAGTGTGTCCTTCCTTCCATAATAGTTCTGGTGGCTTTCCCTACTCCATCCCAAACCTTAAGTTTATCAATACTGCAAAAATGTGTCATTGATCAGGAAGCTGCTGATCAGTGTACAGTGTAATGTACAGGATTGTGTTTGACTTGTACTGCACAAGATCATAGCGTGTATTTCTTTCTGTAACAATGTTGAGGGAAACATGCTGGAGTGGTCCTTTGTAAGCCTGCTGCAGGCATTGTAAGCCAATTCAGTAGAAATTCCTCCATCTAAACTGCTTCCAAAGAGTAGATCTTCCTTCATACTCAGAACGTAGCAGCTGATGGTCACAAACTGGTGCACTTAAATTCATTTCTTCCAGTCTGTTCTGTTATGTCAGTACTAATTCTATGTTCTGCACAAACACAGTTACACCAGTGTGATAAAATAGCCTTAATGTCAGTGCCTAGCCCAGGCTGAACCAGGGGAAACCATGAGAACATGGGATTTCTAAGATCCTGGTGGGTCACTTGTTTCATTTTATCATCCATTCAGAAAGAAAAAGAAAGATCTGACAATAATAGTGGTGCCTTTTTGTAGCAGAAAGGCCTGCCCTGCATTTCTTTGGAACATGTTTAGCACTTGCTATCATACGGCATTTTTTTCTCCTCTTCTAAGACTTTCTATACAAGTTAGGCTGTAGCATCTGCCTTTCTCATCGACTGAATGTGGTACTTAGGCTTTTAAATGTAGGTGTGCTAAGCTAAGCTGTAGTTAAATGTCTAAAGCAGATGGCAGAATTACCTCTCTGTGGGCCCAGATTCTTGCTTGAATGGTAGCATTTGGCAAATTAAATGAAGTATGTGGTTGGATGAAGAGGTCAAATGTAGAAGACAAAGCGTTGGCTGCTGCAGCTGCCCAAACTACATTACCAAGCAGAAGGGAAGTGTTCAAAACCTAAGTGGGTCTAAATTTCAGAAAGGGAAAAAAAGAAGCATGACTATCCTTCTCTGGTCATCTTCACTCTCTCCAGGGTAAGGCTTGCACAGCTAAGGATTTGGCCCCACTTGATTACAGTGTTTGGTTTCCCTGGTGGGAAGAAAAAATGCAATCCTATTAGACAACACACAAAAATCCCTCTGAAATGTTTCTAAAGGAGTCAGTCTGCTAAACGTCTGCTAAATGTGCAGAGTACACAGAATCCCTTCTGGCACTGTCGTGAATGATGCATTTACCAATATTAATGGAGATACCAAACCATATTGCTCCACAGTTCCTCCTGCACACATTATGCTCCTAACACACATATGTGTATGTGAAATGCCAGATACGGTTTTTGCATTCTATGGTTTAACCACCAGTGTACTTCCAGAATGCTGACTGCCCATTACCATGGCCAGACCATCCTGTGGTCTCTCAACTCAAAAAATGTTTCTCCAACTAAAAAAAACCCAAGAAAAATGTTGTTTTTTTGGTCTGTTGCACTGTAATCTCTGTTCTCCTGGGGATTATACAGCTCTGCGGGTGATTTCTGTAATTCATTCTAGTCTTTCATTAGAAGTAATAGACGGTCTTAATTACAGCAGGCCACATGACAAACTGGTAAAGGTGCTAGAAATGGTGCCAACAGGATAAGAATTGGATGGTGTGAATTTTTTTTAATTAAGAGCTGGCAGAACTGTCGGGAAATAGGATTGGACTCCTGTCCACTGGAAAGTGTGTCATTTTGGTGCAGGCGTTTTTGTAAATGTCACGAATTTTATGCTGGTTATGGTTTGAGAAACTCGAAAAATCATCTTCAGCTTAAACAAAATAAAACCACCCTTTGAAGCTGAATGTATCAAATAGGGAAAGGAATACAGCAACTTTTGATTTATTTTTTTTTTCACTTGTCATGGTGTTATCAACTGTAGCCTTCCTCAGTGTACCTTGATTTACTTCATACCATTAAGTATTCTTAGACCATATTAAGTTACTGCAATAAGGATTGTTGCAAATGTCAGTAGTGATGTAAATGATCATCTCTTCTACTTGCTGTGAGGACCTCAAAAGGATCTGAGGGGCTGGGGTCTTATTCCCCCACCATTGTATTTTCCTGGAAGGCACAGGATAAAGGTGCTCAGTCTTACCGTGTTCGCCAGTTCCCCGCTACTTAAGTCATTTCTTACAATTGAGTGTTTGGTGTGTTCATGACAGGAAAGTCCTGAAAATGAACGGAGAAAGAGAGCAAGCCCTTTCTAGACAGTAACAGTAACCTAACGGTAGTTGCCCTCAGCCTCTACTGCAGCAGGTTCTGCTCCATCAACTGTGGAAGACCCAAGCTGTGGTTAGGCATTTTGGGGAAGAGCAGACACCCAACTAAAGTCGTCTTGCAACTACCCAGATACCGTCAAGCTTAGTTTGAGGTAGAGAGGATGCTTCTTTGTAGAGAATCAAAAGCGGTACCACGATATATACTGAGAGTTGTATTCGTATGGAATGTTTGTCTCTTGCTGTGAGAAAGGCAGACTGCTAGATAAAAGATGGTCACCGTTCAAATGTCAAAATCTGTCAGTGGTATCTGTTTCTAAAATAAGGTAAACCCCAAAACCTTTTGTGCCAAACAGGCACCTGATATACCGAGTTTTCTCCTAGTAGCTAATGATTGTTTGGGTTACTGCATGGGTCCTGACTGAGGCAAAGAGATTAACAGTTAAGTCAGTGCTTTTCTACCATGAGAGAATATCTGCCAATCATTATCAAAAGAGAAGGGATCGGCAACAGTAGTACTCTGAAAGAGAGGAAAACAGTAATTTCTAATTATTATTCAACTCATTGACTGCTTACTCCAAAGCACATTTTGTTCAAAAGCTAAATCTCGCTATGCTGTCAGGTTCCACTTGCCTTTGGGCTGGGGAGAGGATGATCCCTGAGGATTTCCTGCCAGTACCCACTGTGGTGCTGGAGGGAAGGGTGTTTCCCCTCTGCATTGAGTGCATTCACAAACTGGTGAAGGGGCAGAGAGAACTGTGAACATTACATTGCATTATGCATGCATGTGTATGAAGTATTTTGAAATCCCCCCAGCAGTAATGTTCAGTTCTTTCTGATGATTTGCGTATTAATTTCTTTCCTGTGATTATTTAATGTGTATATGCAGCCCATGTAGGTTTTTTTCCTTCCCTTTTGCATGTGATGCGCTAGCAAAGGAAGACAGTAATAGTCTCCAGGGATGTGCAGCTCTGTTCGTATCTGCGGTATGAAGTCAACCCAAGACCATTTTGTTCTCATAAAATATACAGCACTGCAGTTTAATGGGTAATGGCATAAATGCCAAGATTTGACGGGCAGAACCATTTTCACTGGGAGACAAGAGAGACTATGAGCACTCAGTGTTGGAGGGAGATCTGTAAAACCATATTTAAGCAGATCTTGCGTGCTGTGAGGGTGGTGATTTTGCTTTACCTGAGTGTGCTAACATCGGGCATGCTTAGCTATTATAAGGTAATAACACATATGAGTTGGGCTTTTTAAGCGCAAACAGGAAGCTGACAGGTTTTACGGAAAGTAATTCTACTCCTTTAATGTGTGTTCTTTTTCCTACTTTTGTTGTAATGCTCTGGGTGATAAAGATGGTTTCCCCTGAGGTTGACAGGAACTGACTACATGTTTGCTTCTGCTTGAGCACATCGGTCTCAAGGGCTGCTGAGCCACTCCAGTTCCCACTGCACCTGGGGAAAATCAGTGGGGAACGTGGCACCTCCACATCATGTACTGAGTAATGGGTATGCTCTGCTCTGCTCTGCTCCTCACTTGGGCTTAATGGCTCAAAACTTTGTCGAAGAGAAAAAAAAAAGCAAACCGAGGAAATTTGCAGAAACTGGAGTCCCTTTGAGTTAAAAAAACCCCCAAACCCAAACAAGCTGCCAGGATGCTGTGCTGATCGCAGGTATCTGAGAGCCCAACCATATGTCAGGAAACATAGTGCCCTTGAATCAAACCGTAAGGGTGAACTGAACGGATTTGTTGATGCGCACAGAGTAGGAGACCGAAAAAGGAGTGTTACTTTAGCAAGTAATTACCCGAGGCTTTCCTTATGCTTGCACTGAAGCACAGGTGAGAACCCTTCACGGGATTTGAAGACCCGAGCTAAAATGGCTTGGTGTCGCCGGAGGGTTGGCTTTAACGGAGAGGGGAGCCAGTGTGCGCACAGCCGGCTCCAGGTGCGCGGGGAGAGGAGAGGAGGGGAAGGGGAGGGAAGGCAGGCAGGCAGGCAGCCTGTTTCCCTGCCTGGGAAACCCGAGGGGAACCCGCTCCACCGCCGCTTTGCTGTGCCTTTCGTTTTTTAATGCATATTATGTAATTGTTGGATGCGGGTCTTACAACTCTGCGGTCCTCCAGCCCCGTTTATGCCATTGTCTAGCCCACAGAGGGTATTTCGGCATCTCCCCCCAGACACACACCCTCCCCTGGTGCAACTGTATTTCAGATTATTCTAACATGAACCGCACTTTTGAAGGGCTGATCTGCGTCCGTCCACGGAACGCATTCACGTACGAGTCCAGCCAGGCACGCTGAGGGCAATGGTATAATTATAATTAGTGGAAATGAGCTTGTTTTGCTCCCGCTTGGAAAACCGTGAAGCGTGTGCGGCACCGGGGGAATAGCGCGAGGGGTGGGGGCAGGTCCCGATCTCTGACAGGAATAAAAAGGCGGGGGGGGGAAGGGAGGGAAGGGTAACCCCAACTCACGGAGCGCTATTTTTATCCCGCCCCCCCCCATCTTCCCCAGCCCGTTCCCCGGGGTGGGGCGGGCAGCCGCCGCCGTGGCCCGCGGCTCCCTCCCGGCCGCGCAGCCCGCAGTGCCGCGCCGCCGCTGCGGAGGGAGGCGGGAGGGGAGGGAGGGAGGGACGGACGGGGGGCGGGAGGAGGGAGAGGGGCGGGCAGCGAGGGAGGGAGGACGGGCGGGCAGGGGGAGCCGGGCTCCGCACGGCGCAGGCAGGGCAGGGCAGGGCCGAGCAGAGCCGGGCCGAGCCGCGCCGCCGCCGCCCGCCGTGCCCGAGCATGTCGGCGCGGGAGGCGGTGACCTACCTGCCGGAGAAGGGGCTGTACTGCCAGCGCCTGCCCGGCCGCCGGGCCCGCGGTGCACCGCAGCCGCGCAAGGGGAAGCGCGCCGACACCATGGGCTTCTACGGCACCCTCAAGATGATCTTCTACAAAGTGAGTGGCTGCCCACCCCTCCGCCCCGGCTACGCGCCCGCGGAAGCTGCGAGTCAGACAGGGAGGGAGAGAGGGGCGGGGGCTGCGGGGGTGCGCGCATCTCCCGCGTTGCCACTCCGCGCCGGCGGAGACGTGCGGCAGGCGCGGGGCTGAGGCTGCGGTGTGCGGCCGGGGAGAGCTGCCAGCGCTCGGCGGCGGGTGGCGATGCGGAATACGGAATACAGTTCGCTGCCCCTCAGTATTTTTTCTTATATGCTGCAATCTCGGTTATTTGGATAAATAAACGCTGTCTGAAGGAGCGGTGTTTCCCAGAGACAGATTAAATAGTAATGGGGGTGTTCGCTCGGCGGTTTCTGTTTTTCGGTTCCACAGACACCTTAGCAATGTCTAAATCTTGTCACCAGACGTCTCTGCTGTAGAGAAAGTTTTATCTTCTTCGTGTGGTAAACGGCATTTTTGACCGTGTATTTACTTAGCACGTTCTGAGATGCTGGAAGTCTGGCGGTGCAGTGGATCCCATGAGAAAGTTCCCTGAAATACCTGAATAAAGCCCCAAATCAACCGAAAGAAAAGAGTGAAATAATTGTTAGGCAGTGGAATAGGAAACTGCATATTGTTTATTCTGCTACCGCACAAGAGTAAATCCCTACAGCTGCTCACTCTGCTTGCTGCAGGCTTCGTACTTCTTATTTTAAGGTGTGCTTTTGGGAAACCGCATCTCCCTCTTGTGAGAAACAGAAGAGGGATATGATGATGATGATAACCTCTTAGGAAGGCAGTCTGGAAATAAGTATTTCCATTGAACAAGAAAAATCCTTTCTGAGAAGTCTATCACGAAATCTGAAATTAATGCTCAAACATCGTATTTATGCTCCCAGTAATTTTGGCGGCTCACATGCTTAGCCCAGCGATGAAAGATGATATCCAATTATTTTTCAGGGATGTTCACATCTGGTTTTCCTGGGGGAAGCACCGAGGGCTGCTCTTCCTGGGGCGTGGGAAGCTGGGAGGGTGAGGTTGGTGGTGGTTCAGCAGCTCTCAGGGCGGTTCTGGCTGAATGCTGCTCGGGTGAAACGCTGTGGAGTGTCCCATGCGAGGCATGGGCAAGCAGACACAGCCACAAGGCAAGCTCCTCTGGCTGCCTTGTAGCTGCTACGGTAAAGATGAGACCAGTTAGTCATAGTTAGCTTTCCTTTGTAATCGCTAATGAGGTGAAACACGAGATCTTCAGTGTCTGTTTCTCGGGAAAACCATAAAGGGGTTTTAAAAGTAAAAAAGAAAAAAAAATCACAACAGAAGTATATGGACCATGAGCTTTAGTGAGTCCATTTGGTGGTTTGTTTTTAGGTAGGTAGGTTGGTACAGTAAATGGTTAAAGAGCTATAGTATAACATAGCATTAAAAAAGATCGAATCAGTTGCGTCAGAAGGATGCCAACTTTTAAACTGTGTCTTAAAGATGAGATTTCGGAAAAAGGGAGCAAATGGTCAAACTAAAGTCTGAATTGTCATAGGAGTGCTTCATGTATTCTGCAGCTCTCAGTTGTAAACAGCAGCAGGCATTTTTCTGCTGGCTGAAGTGTTTTGGTGTATCACATCTTAAAAAAAGAAAACCAACAAACCCTCAGGAATCGCAGTTGGCACACGTATGTCTCGCCGAGTCCAAGAGCCTGTGGTTAAAGATTACCCAAATATGTAGAAAGTAATCTTTATGTGTCTGACTGGATAAATGCGGCTTTCACTGCTCTCCATCTCTTCGGTAATTTTTGCAGACTGGCTTTCCCTTTCAGCAGCTGCCCTGCTCATTATTTCGGTTTGATCAGATCTAATTGCGGGTGACATTCAGGACCGAGGCGCAGTGGGTTTCATTCTTACCCTTCTTGTAGCAATGTCGGTTAATCCATCAGGCAGGGTTGGAAATGTTTTCAAGATACAACTTCAAGAGAGATGAGAGAAAAAAACTGGATTTGATTGTTTATCTTTTTGTTTGTTTCAGGATCCAAAATGAATATTTGGTTTATAATGCAGACAGGCTGCCTAAAATTTAACCATTTCCATGAGAGACTTAGCAATGAACATGAACACAAAGAATGGAGAGGTTTGGTTTAGTTCTTACCATCCCTTCCCAGGAGAACAGAGAACAGCTTAGTAATAAATAAACCAGCACAGAGTTCTGCACACTTTCTCACATTTGAAATTTGGATATAAATGTAATTCCGGTAGATTTTGGACACTAAACCAGCAGTAACATATACATGCAGTGTATAGGAGATGTATCAAATGCTGTTGAAGATAGGAACTACAGTGTTGCTTTAAATCATCTTCTGAGTGTCAACTTTGTTGAAATTCAGTATCGAAATAAAAGGTAAAAATGGATTAATTTTACAGAAGTACTGTAAGTAAAGCTGGTCATGTCACTAAACCCGTGTTGTTACTCTTTTTCTTCACCTTACAGATGAAGAGAAAGTTGGACCATGGCTCCGAGGTCCGTTCTTTCTCTCTGGGAAAGAAACCCTGCAAAGTCTCAGAATACACAAGGTAATTAAATGCAACACGAGATCGCCAGATCCTGATTCTTGCGTATATCCTGTCTTTCCAATTGCTAAGCCTGATTCATGGCTCTCTTAATGTTAAAGCACTGTACAGCAAAGAAGTGGTGGTATCAGCATTCATATATTGCTTAGTTAATTTAAATGACATGAACTGAAGATGAGTTTTAATGAAGTAGCCAGACTTGCATTTCTTCAGTTGAGGTTTGTGTTTCATTCTAAATATAGCATACCCATTTACTCAGAGACTTTTTTGAGGGCTGAAGCATTCCTGGGAATAAAATCAATCAGATTTTTAAAAAGGCACATAATGATAAACCCTTAGACTATTACAAACTGTGATCAAATGTATCACTTTGCTATGGTAACGGGAATGAGAGAATGGAAATTTATGTAGGCAGAGCAGACCATCTGATCTTAACAGGAACACGCACGTACTTGTTACCCACAGTATTAAAGCATTAGGGGTTCTAGTTTGTTTCCTTACTACTCCTGAATGGTACCAGATCACACAAACAACTGCTGCTGTTCCGGTCAGGTGCTTCGTGGGGTAAAGCACTCCTAAACATGAGCAGCAGTGGTAGAGCAGGGCCCTGGGTGCACACCTTAAAACTGCAGTTCTGACTGTAGAGTTGCCATAACAATCGTGCTTGGGTGTGATGCTGCTTCCCAGCCTGTTTGAGTTCACACCATCTTACGTTTTTAACCTGTAAGAAGCATCAGCCCTCCCACACGCATTACACATGCATCCCCAAAGTGTCTGGGGATGTTACTTCTTCTGAACATGCAGTAGTAGTGCTCTGTCACTGATGGCTCTTCAAAAGTAGTTTTTATCTTATTTCTCTTCCTTTAAGAGGTTTATCAGGTGATGAGTGAAAAGTTAGGACTGGGGCAAAACAGGTTCCAGGGTTGCTTTTCAGATATGTAAATGCTGCAGTAGAGGAAAAGAGACGATGTCTTGTTGCTGAGAAGCATGTGTAGCAGCTCCCACATTGCCCTTGAGTCTCAAGTTGGTAGCTTCTCAGAGTTTCTGAATCAGTCTAATGGAAGAATGCTCTTGTTGGCCACCAGTTCTTCAGGTGACAGATCATTCTCTGCACTCCCACAAGAATAGAGTTCAGCAACAAAGGAAGTATGTGTTTTGTCAAGTGTATCCGTCAGATTCAGAGGAACCACTGGACTTGTCCAGCTTCTACAGAAACCTGGGTGACTGTTTCAGGGGCATGAAAACATACAGAAAAAATAAAACACAAACAGAAAATCGTATGGTTTAATCTCAGGTCAAAGGAAAGGGGCTTTTAGATCCTGATTTTGACTGAGAACAGCAGAAATTGAAGTGTAACTGTTCTGCTGGGTTAGGCTTAAGGCTACATACTGCTCTGGTCCAATATAAGTCAATTTTAAGAGCCTTATTTTGGACCTTAAGTGATAGCACCTGCACAAAGATATAGCATCTCTGTACAGGTGCTGAGAATGAGTAAGCTGGAAACCCAGATTTTATTTTAAGAATACTTTCAAATTAACGTGGTTTGGATTTTGAACCATTATTAGCATAAAAGAATCTTTAAATAACATCCAGTCCTCTCTCTTTTAAATTGTTTGGTTATGTTTTATTTAAATGACATTTAGGCAAACGATGCAGTTCTTGTACCTGCTTGTTTTCCATATTCACTAGGATCAGACACTCTTTAAAAGTGGCAAGCCTGATGAACTTTCTTTGCATGTAACAGGGAAAGCCGGTAAACAAATCTCATTGAGAGGACGCTTCATCTGTGAAACAGTATTTTTATATCAGCTTCTGTTTCTGTTATTACTCAGTAAAATCAGCAGCTAAAAATAAGCCTGTGCAAACCAATCTTTATCACTTTGGGTAAAGGCTAGGGCATGCTATGATTGTCCTTCAGAACAGGGAAGAGTAGAGCGAAATATTGGTAGAGTATGTTGAGATAAATATTAAAATGAACTTGCCTTGCATCGTTTGAAGCTGTTTCTGTAGCCACTGAGAAGTCAGTAAACCCCTGAAGCTCACGTCTACTTAAAAGCTGGATTTATCGTACACAAAAGCAAAAGGTTTTTTGGAGTCCCACATTGTATTTAAAATTTTCATGCTTGTGCAGATGCCACTGGAGTTTCCCCATCTCCTGCGAGGGAGCACAACTTTGATAGGCTGTGAATGGAGTGCTTTACGTTATGTAAAAAAATAGAAACCCCAGTCAGCTGTATTTCTTTAGACTCCTATAATAGCAGTTTAATCCCAGCTCTTCTGAAAGCTCCATCCCATCTGAATGAGCTGGTTTTTAACATGTCAGAGTGAAAACATCAGACTGTAATTCAGAGAGCACCTTTGGCTCCTTTTCCCTTTTCACCTCGCACTCCCCCCCCCCTTAATTCCTGAGTCAGGCCATCAACATGCAAACTTTAAAAGACTGCATAGGGT